CCTCTGTCTGGCTTCCTGGCTTTTAATCCCCTTTCTCCTGCTCTTCTGCCCTGCTGTTTTGTGCGTCCCTGAGTTGTCCCTGGGGCTGACTGCTCCTCTGTTTGGGTTCCTGGCTTTTATCCCCTTTCTCCTGCTCTCCGGTCCTCCTGCTTTGGGCGGGCTTGAGTTTCCTCTCCTCACCTAATCCCTTTGGCTGATTGTTCTTCTCTCTGGCTTCCTGGCTTTTAATTCCCTTTCTCCTGCTCTTTCGGCCTCCTGCTTTGGGCGTCCCTGAGTTGTCTCTCCTGACCTGTAACCCTGGGGTTTCCACAATGGTGTACCATTTTACAGTCCCAGCAGCAGTGTATGAGGGTCCCAATCTCTCTACAACCTTGCCAGCATTTGTTTTCTGTCTTGTTACACATTGTTTTTTTTTTTAATTATGGAAAATTTTTAACATTTGCAAAAATAAAGAGAGGAGTATAATGAAGGAACCCCTATGTAGCCATCACCCAAAACCAAACCAAATTCGCTTCCATCAAGTCGATTCCAACTCATAGCAACCCCCCTCAGATTTCTGAGGTTGTAAATCTATATGGAAGTAGAATACCCCATCTGCCTTTTACAGAGCAGCTGGTGGGTTTGAACTACTGACCTTCTGGTTAGCAGCCAAATGCCTTATCCACTATGCCACCAGAGCTCCTTAGTCATCACCTAGCTTCAGTAGTTACCAGCGTGTAGCCAGCCAGTCTTGTTTCGTCCCTCCCTCCACCTAGATGATTTTGAAACCAATGCCAAAGAGCAAATCACTTCATCGATAAATAGTTGGATATTTATTTCTTATAAGAACTCTCAGAAAATTCATACCTTAAAAATGAAAAATTCCTTGATACCAATAGTGTTTTTGATGCCACTTTTTAGCATATTGCATCAGGAAACCAGAAAGAAGTAGAAAGACTTCTAAGCCAAGAGGACCATGATAAAGATGCTGTCCAAAAGATGTGTCACCCTCTGTGCTTCTGTGATGACTGTGAGAAACTCATCTCTGGGTAAGAGGCCTTGAGGAGACTCAGACCTGGGGCCGGCCTGAGCTCTTTTCTCACTTGCCATGTGGCTGGCAGTGAGGGTTTGTCCGTGCCCCACTCAGCTTCCTTTGCTATGAAGTGGAGACAGCAACACCTTCTCTGCTTATTTCTTTGGAGAATCAGATGGAATAAAGGTTGTAAAAGTATTTGTACACTGCTGGGCTAAATACCAGGGTAGGCAGGTCTGGGGCCTGCCCAGTGTCTCTTCAGCAGGAAGTGTACAGTTCAGGAGGGTGTTCAGAAAGCAAGCTTTAGTAGGAGGGGAATGCCAACCTCTCCCACATAACATTTCTGGTGTCCTGTTCTCCTGGTCAGGTTGTTTTGCTGGGTGTCAAGGCCTCAGGGGTGGTGCTGAGTGAGGGACACTGGAACTAGATGCCTCAGGTTCCTCCACCCTGGTGATCCCCAGGACACTGTAGAAGAGACATAGCTTAGGTCCCTTCCTGTGATCTGTCTTCTAGTCCCAGGATCTAGCATGTCCAGCCTGACTAGGGAGAGGCTTTGCCATGCCGTTGCTGTGGGGTATTTTTCTGAATCTTTGTTCTATTTTAGGAGGCTGAACGATCCTTCAGTTGTCACTCCATTCTCCAGAAATGACAAGGGTCATACACCACTCCACCTGGCTGCTCTCTGTGGTATGTGCTCTTTATAGGATAGGGATGGTGCCAAGGGTGGCCCAGCGGAGGGCTGGTGGGCTTGGGGTGGTAGCAGTTGGGATGGTAGAAGGAACCATGTCATGGACCCAGCCTTGAAGGGCTTCACTGGAAGGAGGAGAGTAACAAATGTTCTGTAGGCCTTGGTGGCCCATGCGCCCCTCCCTGACTGGAAGAGCAGGTACATTTGGATCTCACTGTGTCGACGCCTAACACTGCCCCCAGCTGAGTGGGCCGGCGAGGGAGGGCTGGGATCTGAGCCAAGAGAGTGGTCTCAGAATTGTCAGCTTGAGGTTCTTGTAGTCCTGCTTTTTTAAAATAACTGTTGTCTTTTTAAAAAACACTATTTTACTGTGTTTTTGGTGAAGGTTTACACAGCAGTTTAGGTTCTCATTCAGCAGTTTCTATACAAGTTGTTAAATGCCATTGGTTACGTTCTTTACAATGTGAATGTTTTCATTATTTCTGCCCTGATGGTTCTGTTTCTTTTGTCTTTTAAAGTATATGCTCAAGGTAGAAAACAAACCGCTCCCAGTATCACCTGCCATGCTCCTGTGCCCAGGAGATAATTTTGATTAATGGTTGTACAAAATTTCTGCATACTTGTATTTACATATCTGTAACGTAACATATATGATAATGTGGAGATCGTATTGCTCTGTACTGTGCTCGTTTCACTTGGCAGTTTAGAACAGTTCTCCTTGTCCATATGTTTTTTAATGGCTGTATAATATTCCATCTTATGAATCAGTGAGCCATGGAATCTTCTGTGGACGTCTATGGCTCTTAGTTACTGGGATGTGGACTTGAGTTGGGTCTCCTCCAACAGCCACCCCAACGTATTCTGAGTCTGCAGAGTCTGATGGGACACTGATTCCTCTCAAGCGTGCAAATAACCTCCTGGCATGTTTCGTGCCAGGTCATAAGGGGGTGAAAAAATACTGTGGTTGCATATGTAGGGTTCAGAAAACTCCTTCTCTTTCCTTCTTTGTTGTGAAGTACTTCTGTTCTGTAGGACAGGCATCCCTCATTGACCTCCTGGTTTCCAGAGGTGCCATGGTGAATGCCACAGACTATCATGGGTCAACCCCGCTGCACCTCGCATGTCAGAAGGGCTATCAGAGCGTGACGGTGAGTGACAGGTGCCATCATGGTGTGCGAGCTGTGCAGATGACGTGGCTCCTCCTTCTGATCGAGCTTTGCTGATTGTGCTGTGTTAAATCTCCCACGTTTTGCCTCCTTTACTCCACACTGGCCCTGTTGCATCTCTCTGTGGGGTCACTGGACAAAGTTGTTTGGTTTCAATTTGAATTTTCCTGATAGTTGAGGGGAAGAAAGAGGGGTGGGCTAAAGACATTTTCATTTATTTCTAAGCCTTTTGTAAGGAAAGATGAGAGTGATATAATTTTAGTAGTGATAGAAGCAAGTAAGATTTAAAATAGAAACAAATGACCTCCCCCTCATAAGACCCAGGGCCTGCTCCCTGAGGAAGCTGTGTTTGCACAGCCAGTTTGCGTGTTCACCTGCCTTCCTCTCTCCTTCGGAAGCTGCTGCTGTTGCACTACAAAGCCAGTGCTGAAGTGCAGGACAATAACGGCAACACTGCCCTCCACCTGGCCTGCATTTATGGACACGAAGACGTAAGTGGTCCTTGCTGTTCTGAGAGTGGCTATGTTTACCCTTTATCACTCATGGAGAAATGTAAACTTGTAATTAGTTTAATGTAGTATTTGGTATTGATAATTACTGGGACATGTGATGTGTAGTTGTTTTGTTTAATTTAAAAATTTTGAATTTATTGCAAAAGCCATATTGAAATGACAGAAATTCAAAACTTAATTGCATTTATGTTTTCAATAGTAATGTCAAAGAATTTTATAATTTCTGTTTTTACTTAGTATCCTACTGTGTATGTGTTATTTTTTTTCTCCTAGCCACCTGCCCCATTCTCTCTATGATGATATACCGATAGATACATGTATAGGTTTAAACTGGGTTAGGTAGTTGATGCACAAGAATGGGATCTTACCCTGTACATTTTTATGCTACTAGCTTTCTTCGATTAACCTGTCATGGAAATGCTCTGTTCAGTAAATGTAAATCTCACCCACTGCTAAGTAGCTGTACACTAATCCATTGTGTGGACTGTGTTGGGGACCCCAAGACCACTCTCACTAGGAAGACTCGCAGGACTTAGCATATAGTTGTACTCTTGGCTAAGATTTATTACAGTTAATGTTTACAAAACAAAATTAACAATGGGACAAAGCACATGGGGTGAAATTGGGAGAAAACCAGGCACAGGCTTCCCAAGAGTCCTCTTCTGGGGAGTCACACAGAACACCTTTAATCCCTCCGGCAGTGTGTCGTAGGAACATGTGGGAAATGTCTGCAGGGAAGCTCATTAGGGACTCAGGGCCCAGGGTTTGACTGGACTTGGTCATGTAGGCACTCTGCATAGCATGTCCCAAAATTCCAGACTCCCAGGAGGAAAGCAGGTGTTCAGTGTGCACCACATTGTTGTACTAACAGTTTAGGTACACTAAGCCAACCTTGTCGGTTAGAGAACTCCTGGAATCCAAGGTCCCAGATGGCAGGCAAGGGCCAGCCTCGGCTGCTGTGGTCACTTTGTCATGCACATGGATACATCACAGTTTTATTCAGCCGTTTCTTACTGGTTAGCAGTTGAGTTCTTTTGAAGAAGTGATGTGTCCTCACTGGGTAAGACTGTACTTGGCTTGGTGGGTGGAGCCTTGATTGAATTGGGCCGTGGATGGAGGCTGTAGAGCGTAGACACTGAGTAGGGCTCAATATATTTGTTCATGGTGGCATTTCCCAATTTCTTTGCAGTGTGTGAAGGCTTTGGTCTACTATGATGTGCACTCGTGCAGACTGGATATTGGTAATGAGAAAGGAGATACTCCCTTACACATCGCTGCACGTTGGGGTTACCAGGGCATCATAGAGACGTTGCTACAAAATGGAGCATCCACAGAGATCCCGAACAGGCTGAAAGAAACGCCACTCACATGTGCATTGAACTCAAAGGTAGCATTCTTCATCTCTGGGCAACATAGGACTTTAATGGAAAAGAAGAAAAAGAATCAATGTCCATAGATTAGGTCTTTGCCTTGCTGGACGAACAGTGCATTAGTGCCTGGCCTGTACTCTCTCTACTGCATTTAGTTGTTAATAGGTTTTATTAATTTATATTGTTTTCCATTTTACTAACAGTTTTTCTCACTGTTGTTCCAAGAGCTTTTTCCAGCAGAGCTTGCCCTGGCCTCTGAGTGCCACTGATTTATTAGCAGATGGAACGAGTGATAACAGGACAGGGCTCTGAGCTAGAATAGCAGACATAGGGGACAGGGAAGGAAAGCAGCAAGTGCTGGAGCTCTGTTTTCCTGTCACTTCATCCCTAGCTCCTAGAACCTTTTCTCATTTGACCAGTTTTGAACATCGAGTATAGTTGCTCTCACAAGTGATTTGGTGATGAATTTTTCATCCTTTTCCGGTAATAATTTCTGGAAACGTAGCTTTTGGCAACACATAGAGAAAGTGCTCACCTCTTATGAGGGGTGGGGGGTGGGGCAGCTGACTGAGCCCAGGTCTTGGTGCTCTCGTCACCTGGCAGCAGCCCTGGTTGAAGGGATGCCATAGAGAAGCATGCTGGCCTGGCCAGGGGAGGAGTAGAGCCACTGTGAAGTGGAAGCCCTCCGTAGCCATCAGACTGATGTCTCCAGAAGGTCAGTGCTGTGCGTGCCCGAGTGATTTCGTTCTGGTGCAGGTCTCCAGTCATCACCCATGCCCAGGCCCTTGGGAGTATATTACCAGCTCCCTTTTACAATTTCCAGCTCTCTTCTGGGGACTGTCTTCAGTTAGTTCATATCTTTTTCTGAGAGTGACACAGTTTAAAATTTTTTTTTAATGTGGGGAAAAGAGTTTCATTCATTCATTCATTTGCAGTGGTTTGTAGGGAGTCCGTTTTTCAAATGAGCTAATTTACTAATTTTTAAAACAGGCATTATTTCATGGGAAAAACCCCAAAGGTTGTTAATTTGCTCATTATTACTTTTTTTTTTTTTTTTGACTTTTTGTTGTGATTTGGGTGAAATTTTACAGAAGAGATCTGTTTACATTCGGCAGTTCGTGCGTATTTTGTTTTGTTTTGTGACACTAGTTATACCCCCCACAGTGTAACAGCTCTCTTCCCATCTCCTCCCTTTCCCTGTGTCCTTCTTGCCTTAGTGGCACAGCTTTTAAATCCCTGCTCCTAACTCTAGGGACGGTGTCAGCCGTGCTGCCCATGCATTCACAAGGCTTTTGCTTTGTAGCAGCCTCAGCTGCCTGAGACTGCACAGTGTTGCCCTTGGCCTAAGAGGCTGAGATACCCCCTGAGGAGGGCTCCTTTTTCCTCTGTAGCTTCTACTCCAGGCCCCTTGCAGAGGAGCTCTGCAGAGGAGAGGAGGAAGTGGTCATCTGGGCTCAGCTCTGCGCTGCTACTGCTTGAGACTGGGGCGTCAGTGGAAAGGTTACACTCTATGCTGGTGGACAAGGCCTGGGGGCCGGACAAGATAGCTTTTGAGGCCCTTTCTGTGCCTGGGCTTCTCTTACCGTCTGAGCTCATTCATGGGAGCACTAATTTCCCCTGCTCAGACAGGGTATGATGGAGGAAGCCCACACTTGGTATTGTGTGTTCTTCCCTGAGTTCTCACCCACCCTGGGCTTTGGTTTCTCAGTGTATCTCAAGGTGTGGCTGGGCTGCTTGATCGGAGACTCTGCTGACATCCCAAGGAGACTGGCAGGCAGTAGGCACTATGGGTGATGATACTTTGTTGCTAACCATTCTTTCAGTTGTTTTCACATCCTTTTTATCCTCTCAGATTCTGTCTATAATGGAAGCCAGTCGTCATCGTCTGACGTTTGAAAGAAAGCAGAAGTCTTCTGAGGTAAATATATGGGGCTGTACTAGTTGGTTATATTTGAGGTCAGGGGCCTTCTTTCTGGCCCTTGTGTGTCCGTGTGCTCATGTCTTTTCTGGTCTGGATGCCCTCACTGCAGGTCCCTGTTCAGTCCCCTCAGCGTTCTGTGGATTCTATCAGCCAGGGGTCCTCTACCTCCAGCTTTTCCTCCGTGTCGGTGAGCTCTAGGCAAGAGGAGGCTAAGAGGGACTACAGAGAGGTGAGGCTTTCTGACGGCAAGATGAGGACTCAGTGGTCCTGGTGATATGGTGGCCAGTTAAAGAGCCCTGCCCATTCGGCCTGCTCACCAGTTACTATGAAGGCCAAACATCTCTGCTTTGGTGGCAGGTTGACGCCCTCAGGATGAGCCTGTGAAGTTCTCACACTGCTGGGTCACCCTGCTTGTCCTCCAGTGGTCTGCTCCCTAAGCTGATCTTTGCTCTGTGGATTGTGTGTGTGAGAGAGAGAGAGAGGAAGGGAAAGAGGGAGAGAGGAGAGTAGGCGGGGAGAGAGAGGGAGAATATTCTTAGAAATATACAAGTACAGTCACCTACAGGTTCACGGAACTATTCTTTTATGAAGTAGGAAATTTTCTGTCTTCTGCCTCCCATCCCCATAAGTACTTCCTGTTAACAACTTGGGGGGTTATATTCCTAACTTCTTACAGGTTATGTAGACATTGACATGCCCTTAGGCATTGGCTTTTGTTAAGCTGATTTATGATATTTCCTTTTTTTTTTTTTTCACTTAACTTAGAGTTTATTTGAAGTCAGCACATACGGATCTGCCTCATTCTTTAACTGAAGAGTAGGCCACTGTATGGATGTACCATGGCTTAGTCCACCGTTCTGCTATGGATGAGAAGCCCTCCCTGGCTCTCCCCTAGTCTCCTTCCTTCTCACAGCCCCTGAGCTGTGGCCTGCTCCTAATAAACTGAGCTTGAGGCAAAACTGCAGCACAGAAAGGCAAGAGACGTGCTCCAGAGTCTAACACAAGACTTGAAATCTTGAGGAGTGTGCACCTTTGTGGCAACCTCAAATGGTGGTTAAGAATGCCGAGCATATGTAGTTCTGAATCAAAGAGGTGGCTGGCTTCTTTGGAAGCACGTGTGCTTTAAGGAGACTGTCATCTCATTTTTCTGCATAAACAGCAGTTACATGTATAGACCTTAAATGGTACTATATGCTGTACGTAGTAGGATGTCACATCTGAGAGTTTTACGGATATGTTTGTGAGATACTAAATGAGATGTTGAAATTCTACAAAGCAAGAGACAAGTGAAAGTACTAGGTTTTCAGAATGCCATTTTTATTATTTCTATTATTAAAACAATTTTTCTAACATTCTTTTTCTTTTTATTAAGGTAGAAAAACTTTTAAGAGCTGTTGCTGATGGAGATGTAGAAATGGTGAGTTTTCACTAGGGCATTTGAAAAAGCTTGTTCTCGGTTAAAATAGCCAGATGTAGTTCTTGTTTCTTCTAATTTGGTTGTGAATTGTGTGGATTCTTTGTTCAGTTTCACGTAGATGGTGGTGAATTTAATGAGTCTTTGGTGATGCCAGTGTTGTGTTTTCCCCTCACGTAATGAGGCATAGATGCACATAAAGCTGCATACCAAGTGTGGCTTTCTGCCTCTCAGACGTTCATATTCCAGGGGAGTGGTGAGATGTGGCAGGACCAGCCCACGTCCAGTGGCATGTAGTGGTGCTCTGAGTCGGGACAAGGTGAACAGCCTGCTTTTGAGGAGAGGACAAGGTTGAGTGGAGGAGGTGAGGGATAAGCTAGAAGGAGGGTGTTTGTGGCTCTGCAGAAGCATTGAAGGCTGTGACTCCTGGGCCGTGAGGCTGAGGCCTGAGGCATGGGAATTCAAAGAGTTGCAAGCAGCTGTCTGGATGAGATGGTGCTGGCTGCTTTGGGTTGGCACCTGGAGAGGACGTCAGGGCTTGAGGCGAACTGTGTGTTAACCTTGCTGTGAGGACACATCTGAGATCCTTGTGAGCAGAGAGAGGCTTCATTAGAGCCCACCAGCAGTGTCCCTGGCCTCCCTTTGGCTTCCTGGATGAAATGTGTTAAGTCTTCTACTTTGAAGGAAAGGATGAATATGGTGCTTCCCAAATTTGTTGCTGTTTGCTGCCATCAAGTTGGATTGTGACTCGTGAGCACAGGTGTGCGGAGTAGAACTGCTCCCTGGGCCTCTCAAGCTGTGACCTTTCAGAAGCTGATCGCCAGTCTTTACTTCCAAGGTGCCTGTGGGTTGGTGGCTTTGACCACTCACCTTTCAGTTAGTGCTTAACCTTTTGTACCACCAGGGGACTCCTACCAAATTGGGAGCTTTGAATAGGTCATATTGCAAGAGAGCTTTTCACCAATGGTTGAGTTTGCAGTGGTGGACAGAAATTACTGGGATCTGATTACAACAGTCTCTGGGATGTGAAGAATCTGAAGATGTGGTCGTCGGTATATTAGCCTTTGCCTAGAGCCTAGTGTTGCTCTAGCAGAAGGCCACACAGTTACTCTGGGGTAAATGGACTGTCTGTATCTGGCTGATGCTGTGTTGCTCCTTTCATGAGGCCTGGAGGCAGGGGCGGAAGACTGTCCCCAAGAGAACCCCACATTTTTGAGGGAAGGAGAGGAGGGCTTCTTTAGGCATGCTAAAAGCCATGGTGTGAGCACAGTCTGTGTGGAAAACAGGTTGTGACTCCCAATGTCGTGGCACAACTGCTCATCTTCCTGTTAGGTGGGGAAGTAGGGCTGAGCTACTAGTAAAGGAGGTGAGACTAACTTGCCAGTGGCTGAGGTCACTATCCAAACTTATCTACACATGCCATAGCCAACCCCTAAATGAGGTACCTGCCCCTCAGCTCCCCACCTGTTTTTATTCCCCTCTTCTCATCAAAAAGCACTACCCTTTGTCCGTCCCAGCCGATCTGTTAGGTGAGGACTTGAATAGAGGTCTTCAGAGTTTTCCCCTTTAGGAATGTCTGCTGTCAGCCATGTGGAAGGGACCTGGAGGTGAGATGTTTTGGGTACGAGGGGTCTTCTGGAACCCTCTGCCACTCCTAGCAGGCATATGCTTATTTCATCAGTGCTTGGAACCAGATCTAGAAATGTATTTACATGGTTTTCTTTTTTAAAATTTATTGTTGTATAATCATGGGAGAATAGAAGGGCTGTGTATGCACAGGGAGACAGCTCAGGGTGCAGGAGTGCATGGAGGGAAGGACACAGGGAAGAGGTAACTATGGGGAGGAAGTGGGAGGAAAGCTGTTGCATTGTGGTAAATTGTGGTCAATGTCATGAGACAAAGTGTGTATGAGCTGCTATATGGAAAGTGAATTTGCTGTGTAAACTTTCACCCAAATCACAATTGAAAAAAATTGTTCTAACAACTAGTTTTCAGAACATAAATCTTATGTTACTAGAACATAAATTTGATTTTTTGGGGGTCGTTCAGTGCTTTTGCCTGTGGGTGAGCACACTGTGTGAAAGAGCACTGGCGTGGAGTCGGGGGGTTCTGACTATACTTACTATTTATGTGCCCTTGAACACATTGTTGACTTCTCTGAGTCCTTTTCTCTTAGTAAGGGGCATAGGGATCTGGAACCCCCTCTTACTGTTGAAAGCATGAGATTCGATAATGTAAGAGAAGTACTCACTTGGTGTCTCAAGGACCAGGGCTTGAGCACTCACTCTGAAGCAGCATCAGTCTTCCTCTAACACTAGCTACAGAAATAAATGGTAGATTAATCTCAGCAGTAGAAGGATTTGGAATGGCTTGGCATAAGGTGAACCTTGGAATCTTCATGAGGGAGCAGAAGCCACTTGCAAATTGCTTTGATGTTTGTGGAAGGGTTGGTCTTGATTTGGGAACATTTAATTGGCTGTGTGTTTAAGACACTGTAGCATGGAAAGGAGGTAAGGATGTGTTTTAAGGTCCTGTTTCTCCTTACCATCCAACACCAGGTGCGTTACCTTCTGGAGTGGACAGAGGAGGAGCTGGAGGAAGTGGAGGAGGATGCTGGTGCGGTAGATCTTGAATTTTGTCACCCCTTGTGCCAGTGCCCCAAGTGTGCTCCAGGTCAAAAGGTTTGGCTTTGCTTCTGTTGGGATGGGCATGGGGCAGTTCTTCATTGTCCCCCCATATGAAAGGTCTCTGCTTCTCAGCCAGATAATTACTGAGTGGCTGGTAGGAGGTGTCCCTGAGAGAAGCTGATGCTAGTGTGGGATCTGGCTTGGGCTGCCTGCTTTCTGAATGGGCAGGTTAGTGAGCAGGGACATGCACACTCGCACGTAGTATTTCAGCTGCTCCACTGCTGTCTGGGCCCCAGAGTCACACGGCAGGAGTTTGTGAATAGACAGGCCTGAGGCCCCTAAGGAGGCTGCATGCCTGTCCCCTCACTGCTGCCTTTATTCATGTCAGTACACCCCTCTGTGGGAGGACCCTCTCCATATGCAGAGAGGCCCCCTTGTCCCGTTTCCCCGGTTTCCCCATTGGTAACATCTTATAAAACTGTAGGATACTGACATTGATAGCATCTATCGATCTTATTCACTTTTCCCCCATTTCACTTGTACTCATTTGTGTGTGTATGCATTTAGTGCAATATGATTCTATCACGTGTAGGTTGGTGTATGTTACCATCACATTCAAGACACAGAACAGTTCTGTCACCACAAGAATTAAGAATAACCCACATGACCCTTTTAAAACCATACTCATCTCTCTTCCCTTCATCCCTGCTTACACCCCCATCATCCCTAATCCTTTGCAATTGCTTGCTAATTCTCCATTTCTGCAATTTTGTCATTTCAAAAATGTTATATAAATATAATCACAGTATATAATATTTTTGGATTGGCATTTTTCACTGAGCATGACGCCAAGTTGCATGTAATTGATGGTTCATTCCTTTATTACTGAGTAGTCATGGTATGTAAATACTACAGTTTATTTAACTACCTTTTGAAGGACATGAGTTGTTTCTGGTTTTGGAATTTTACTAAAAAAGTGAAGCTGCTGTGAACGTTTGTATACAGATTTTTTTTTTTGAGAATATAAATTTTCCTTTCTCTAGGATAAATGCCCAAGAGTGCAATTCTGGGTCATATGGTAATTGTATATTTAGTTTTACAAGAAACTTGCAAATTCTTTCTCAGAGTGGCTGCACCATTGTAGATTCTCACCAGCAGTGTCTGACGGGTCCAGTTCCTCTGCTTCCTCATCAGCATTGGGCATTGCCACTTTGATCTTTTAGCCACTCTTATAGCTGCATAGTGCCATCTTATTGTGACTTTAATTTGTGCATTGCCCTTAAGGCTAACGTTAAGGCTAACATTGTTGAAAATCTTTTCATGTGCTAATTTGCCATAGATCCATGCTCTTCAGTGAAATGTCTCTGTTCATTTCTTTTGCCTATTTTCTAATTGGATTATTTTTCTTTATTGTTTCCAGGGAGGGTTCTTTATATATTCTAGCTCTTTGTCAGATATGTGGTTTGCAAAGATTTTCTTTTAGCCTGTAGCTTGTCTTTTCATCCTGTTCTCATGGGCTCTCATGGAGCAAAAGTTTTTCATTTTCATGAAGTCCATTTGATCAGTTTTCCTTTTTTTTTTTTTTTTTTTGACTGCTGCTTCCATTGGTGTTGATTATATCTAAGTAAAATGAAAACCTTGACAACTTAAACCTTTTCTCCATTTATTATCATGTTGCTTATCGGTCTGGTTGTGAGGATTTTTGTTTGCTCTATGTTGAGTGTAATTCACACTGAAGATTGTAGTCTTTGATGTTCATCAGTATGTGCTTCAGGTCTTCTTTACTTTCAGAAAGCAAGGTTATGCAGGTTTTTAATGAGTCTTCCTCCAATCCTGATGCCACATTCTCCTTCTTACAGTTCACCTTCTCAGATTATTTGCTCAGCATACAGACTGAGTAAGTATAGTGAAAGGATACAATCCTGATGCACACCTCTCCTCATTTTAAACCATGCAGTATCCCATTGTTCTGTTGAAACAACTGTCTTAACCTTTGCATAGTTCCTCATGAGTACAATTATGTGTTCGGGAATTTCCATTCTTTGCAGTGCTATCTATAGTTCGTTATTACCCACACAGTTGAATACCTTTGCATTGTCAATACAACAGAAGTAAACATCTTTCTGGTATTCTTTGCTTGCAGCCAAGATCCATCTGACATCAGCATTGATATACCTCATTCTGTGATCTCTTCTGAATGTGATTTGACTTTCTTGTAGTTCTCTGTCAGTATATTGCTGCAACTGTTTTTGAATTATTT